TGATTTATCATATAGGTGAAGACTATCTTATTTTCATAGGTGAGGAAGATTTTATTTATATTTGTAATCAGGAATCAATATTATATTTTACTGACATTCATTGAAACAATCATGTTTCTTTCTGAAAATGTATATAATTTGTTGATTTATTTCTTAATATTGAATGATAATTGTACATAAGTACTATTTGCCTGTGGTGAATTCTTCTGGTGTCGTATGGATTTAGTTGCTCTTATTCTGTTTAGCATGACTTATCTCTGTTTATAAGTAAAAACAGCTTAGTTTTCCTGTTTTGACAAAATTTTAATGCTGTGGAGTGGAAGATCTCCTAATGCGATAAAAGTAAGCTCATCTTATACATGGGAGAGCGATGGAAAGATCTATTTCAGAAAAACTTGAATGGCCCACTAGTAAAATAAGGTTATTCTGGTGAAAATGAAACCATAAAGTGAAAAAGTAAAACAAACAAACAAAAAATACCCTCATGATTCTCTATAATCATGTTTTTATATTTTATATTTTAATAAATTTTAAAACTAAAATGGTTTACAATTTTATTTATTTATTTATTTATTTAGTTAGTTAGTTAGTTAAAGAGAGAGAGAGAGAGAGAGAGAGAGAGAGATGAGAAAGACCATAAGCAGAGAGCAAGGGATGAGCAGAGCAAGAAGAAGACAGAATCTCAAGAAGGCTCTCCGTAGTCAGCTTGGAGTCCAACAGGGGCTAGACCAGGACCCTGAGATCATGACCTGAGTCGACATCAAGAGTCAGAAACTTACCTGACTGAGCCACATAGGTACCCAAGTTTTACAATTTTAAATTTGATATTGGTGAATTTTGAACAGCACAATTAATTTATTTTTTGCTAATTCACTGATTTTATCTTTAATTTGTGTTTTTCTTTACATCCCTTGGGTTAATGTTGCCTTTATATCTACCTTCTACCTTCTATTATATGTGTCTATATAATATATGTATGTAATTTTTTTATTTTTTATAAATTTTTTATTTTTATTTTTGTAAATAAAACCATTATAGAGCTGTATAAATATATACTTGTATATATATCACACACACACACACACACATATATAATTTTTTATTTTTATAAGTAAATACATTATAGCCATGAATTTACCACTGAGCATCATTTTGACTGAATTCCATGGAACTGGTTGTGTGGGTTTTCATTTTTTTAATTTTCCAGATCAGTGTGTTAACTGCAATTTTCATTTCTTCTTTGACTCTATAATTATATTATTTTGGAGAATTGTAATTTGATAATAACTTTTGGAGACTATGATTGTTATTATTTTAAGTTTTATGATTCATCTCTAGCTTATGGCACTATGGGTAAGAAAATGCATTCAGGTAGTTCATAATCGGTGGGTCAAAGATTAAGCATGAATATGGTAAGTACTTCTTTAATTTTGTCCCTGGCCATTCCTATTCTTATTTCTATGGTTTCAGTTTTATGTATTTTGATAGTAGTATAACCATATAATTTGATGTTCAATTAGAACATTCTTGAGAGCTAAAGGAGGTACTATTAACTGAGATGAAATAACAGGTTTTTACTGGAACCATCCTATGAAAATTTGTACTTGTGGTTACCCTCACCAGTTTCCATGTTTGCTTTTTGAGAGAGGTTGCCATCCTTGAGAGTTATTATCATCACTAGTTTTCTTGTTGCATTTTTGGAAAGAGAAAAAAATGTATTGCTCTCCTTTAGCCTAGGTGTTCTAATGCTTGCTGTGCTTTCTGATAAAGGCCTAGAATGAATAAAAAGCCTGAGTTATGCACATGGCCATGTCCCTTTCCTTCACTGAGCTGCATCCTCTTGGTTTGCCCCTACAGACCCATTGTACACTCTTTTCACCACCTTCTGTGTCTGAGGAAATTAACCTGGGCTATACAACCTCTTGCTCTTTGGCTTCCAACAGGATTCGACCAATGAAAGTCCCGCGGGAGACTGGAGGCTAGAGTGATGATGGTAGGCTTAAAGTTGACTAGTGTTGTAATCCTGCATTGAGGTTGGCCCACACCCACCCATACCTTGACAAAGATCCCTTTAGTGAATATTTTTTATGGATGTACTATCTGTTTCCTGCCTGCTCCATAACTAATACACTCTCTGTGAGTGTATGACTGTGTGCTTTTTTATATAAAAATATCTGTTTTACAAATAATTAACATTTACATCTAAAGCTTCTAAGTATCTCTAGAGAGAACAAAAGAAGCTTGCTTTTTTTTTTTAAAGATAAAATCAAAATATTTACCTTGGCTTTCTGTAATTTTTAAAGTTGTGTTTAAACAAAACAAAACATCTGGAAACTGGAAACAAATGTCTCTGGTCCATTTTTTTACCTTATTCGATTATTTCTTCATTAAATACTGAGTTCTCGCCATTTGCTCTGAGGACAGGTTATGGCCCCTGCTCTTTGTGTTTGAGCAAAGATCCTGATCACAGATAACAAGAGGGCCTAACTTAGGGGTATGCGTGTGTGGGTGGGGGGCAGTGTTAAGGGAATGATGTTAACATTTAAGTTGGAATCTGAAGAATGGATTAAGTAAATAAAGGATGAGAATGTGAAGTTGGATGAGTTGGGTGGGCATGTCCTATGAAGCTTCTGAAGGAATTGGTCTTCACTCTGAACATTTACTTTATGGAAAGCTACTAAAATGTGGTAACTAGAAAGGTAACAGGAGATATTCTTTTTTTTTTTTTTTTTATTTTTTTAAAATTTAAGATCCTGCTGATCAGTTGGTGAAATCTGGAGAGAAGGCAATTCAGATTAGAGACTACTGCAATAGTCTGAGTGTTGAATGAAGACAGTGAGAAAGGAAAGGGGTGGAGTTTTCAGGTACAGTAAGGAAAGTAATTACCTTTCAGGACATAATTATACAAATTAAACCTTGTAATTGATCAGATGAGTATAAGAGTATGATGAATAGGAAAACATAGTTAGGTATAAGTCTTCGGTATATGTGCAGAAAGTGGACACCTGTCAAGGAGAAATTACTTTGGTTTTAGCTCCATTAAAATCACCTGCATATGTTTTTAAAATTATAGTTTTATCTCATTCATGTCCTGGATTCTGAGTAAGTAGGTGCTTGGAAGGGGCTTGGACATTTGTATGAAAGCACAATGAAGCAAAACAAACAAATAACAGCAACAAAAATCTTTTGGTGATTCTAGTGAGAATCTGTAAATCAGGTTCATTAGTGAGGGAAAACGTTCTAGGTAGAGAAAGTAGAGAAGCATGAATGAAGACAGGAAAAAATCACTATTTTGTGCTTAGGTAAGGCTGGTGCACATGTAAAGACAACATGGGATGAATCAGGAAAAGAAGCAGGAGATGAGGCTGAAACTTTTAGTTTTTTTTTTTTTTCTGTACCTACATAAATACACATATTTTTACCCAAAGTGGGAACTATTGTGCAGATTTTGTTGTTTAAATTTACCACTATATCATAAACATACTCCCATGTCAAGTCTTACTGAGATAGCTCTATCTCTATTGACCATATCCTATTTTATAATAATGCTGTACCAGAATTTATATAATCTTTTTCTCATTATTATACACTTGGGTTGCCTTTTTCGGTTTCAAATCATGCTACAGTAAAAATCTTTGTACTGGTAACCTTGAGCAGATGTTTGAGAATCCTTTCAGAAGTAGAATTATTGGGTCAAAGGACACACTCACTTTAAATGTCATTGGATGTTAACAATTTGCTCTTCTAAAATATTTGGACAAACTTATAAACACACCAAGATTTCTTCAATCTCTCAATACCATGGTGTGTTTCAATCCCTTGGCAATATGAAAGGGGCAGACTGGTGTTTGATTTTTGTTTAATTTGTATTTCTTTGACTAATAATAAAGTTGGTAGGACTTTTCCATACATACTGGCTTGTTTCCTTGCAGTCTTGCTTTTGAAAAGTGCATGTTTTTATCATTAATCTTATTTCTACTGGATGGTGTTCTATTTACCATTGCTGTATCCTAAAATATAGCCCTTAAAATAATCATTTTATTGTGTTATTGCATTCTGTGTGTCAACAATTTTGAAAGGCATCTCAGGATGTCTTTGTTCCATGTCTGGGACCTCAGCTGTGGGGACTAAAAGGAGAGTGTAGGGATGCCCGTGGGCGGTTTCCAGGACCAGTTTCATAGGTGAATGTGCAATGTGTGCAGTGCTCTGCACTTAGAAAGGCCCCATGTTTGGTTTAATGCTTTGCTGTGGCCCTCTCGAAAGTCTGAATATTTTTAAATGTGGGGTCCTGTATTTCATTTCACAATGGGCTCTGCAAATTATGAAGCTGGCCCTGGCTGTATCACCTTGTGGTAATGCCTTGTGGTAGGCAGAATAATGGGTTCAAAACTTGCTAGCTTTTCAATCCCCAGAACCTGTGAATGTGTTACCTTATATGCAAAGGGGATTTTGCCGATGTGATTATGTTAAGGAGTTTGAGGTAGGGAGATTATCCTGGATTAGCCTTCTGGGCCAGAAGTCATCACCAGGGTTTTTGTAAGTGAAAAGGGGGGATAGGAGAATGAATGACAGAGTAATGAAAGAAAAACTCCATTAGCCATTGTTGACTTTGAAAATGGAGGAAGAAGTTAGAAGCCAAGGAATGCAGGCAGACTCCAGAAATTGGAAAAGATAAAGGAACAGATTCTACTCATAGCCTCCCGAAGCAGCACCATCCTGCTGACACTCACTTTGTACAGTGAAACGCATTTTTGGAGTTCTGACCGTTCACAAACTCATTTCACTCATATTTCTGGCACCTGGGACGGGATGACTCAAAGATAAGCACTGCTCACCAGAACATCTGCCTATCGTTTCTCCAAGCATTAAGGCTTCCGAATAGCAGAGGGTCCTCAGAAGAGGTGGGCAGTTACTAAGCTCCAAGAGTAAGTGTTCTGGTAAAGCTGTATTGTCCTTTATGATGTAGCCTTAGAAGTTATGCAGCATTACCTTGTCATATTCTGTGGGTTGAAACAGTCAAGAGGCTACCCAGACTTAAGGGGAAGGTAAGTAAACCTGCTCTCTCACTGGGAGGAGTGTTGAAGACTCTCAAACAAAGAATTTGAACCCAGTATTTAAAAAAAAATAATGTTTATTCATTTTTGAGAGATAGAGAGAGAAGAGTGCAAGTAGGGGTGGGGCAGAGAGAGAGGGAGACACAGAATACGAAGCAGGCTCCAGGCTCCGAGCTGTCAACACAGAGCCCATTGCGGGGTTTGAACCCACACGATGTGAGATCATGACCTGAGCCAAAGCCAGATGCTTAACTGACTGAGCCACCCAGGGCCCCTAAACCCAGCGTTTTAAAACTGGGTTTTAAAATACCACAGATGGTTTGTCTTTTTCCTATTGATTTTTACTCTTTGCTTATTATGGCTATGAACCATTTGTGCTTTATGATTATTTCAAATTGTTTTGATCAGACTGTCATCTACATATCCTATTTTTCATATTAAAAATATCACATTTAAAGAAAATTGAGTAAACATTAACTAAATAACTGGATTTTCAGAGATTGTCTAAGACTAGATTTAATTCACTCATGGATGGCAACTTAATTTGAAGGTTAAACAGGCAAAATATTATATAGTAAGATCAAGGTAAGAGATATTAAAAAGTTGAGGGAAGAAAGAGGTAAATACTGTTTTTTATATAATCGCATTTACATTGACTTCATCATTTTATTCTGTCTCTGCTAAATCCTGTTTTCAAATTAAAGTTTTGGAGAATTTCTTGGTAGCGGAAACTACACTTTTGATAGCATCAGACTATCACAATTAATCTACATCTCTTCTCTTTTTTTTTTCTTGTTTCAATAGACTATATTTTATTTAATTTCAGGTAATTTAGTTTTATTAGCTGTCACAGCAAGACTTTATTTTAAAGTGCTTATTTGAAGAGGATATGTTTTGAATATCCTAAAATATGGATTGAATTATAAATCTGTCTATATTTATGCTTGCATCTTCAAGGGTTATAGTTTCACATATACTTTCTGAATAAATCTATATGTTAATAGGTATACTGTTTTATATAATGAAGTATAAACAATTTTTAATCATCGTGCAGGAAAGTTTTGAAAGAGACATTAATTAATAAATATGGATCAATGTTTAAAACCTAATGTTCTTTTAAGAAAGATCACCTATTTAGCACTCGTGTATTTAACACATATATGCTTCAATATATTTGATTGGGACATTAATAAAACCTTATTGCTTATATTAGCATCCACTTGTATAAAACAATTAACGGGCAAGAAGAACCAGGCACAATACATTAATCACTGATACAAAAGCAGAACAATTTAAAGAATTTGTTAAAGATAATCGCTTTTGATAAAAATAGGAAAATTCAAATGTAATATTATTCTCTTAATTAGTCTATATACATAAAAGTGTAGGGGAATTATGTTCAAAGACCTTAAAAAAATGAGAGGGGGAAGGGCTCTGTCACAGCCAAATTCATAAGGCAAACAATTATGCTTTGCATGTTAGTAAAAAACTCGGGTCTTCATTATAATGATCGATAGTGTGTTTAAGCAACTGGTCATGTCTGAAAAGTGTTTGTTTAGTTTCAAAGAATGCATATATTTACCATTTTAGACTTCTTTCTAGATTGCTCACAGATAATTGTGGATCACACAAAGGAAAGATAAACAGTACTGTTATTCTGAAGATATCTCAGATAACAGAAAATTTAAATTTGGCCTAACAATTATTCATGCAACCTTTTGCTTTCTAAACAGGCATTTTAGATACAACTCATTCCAGTTGGGCTTTGATCAAGCCATCAAGGGTCTATTAATACAATTCTCAGAGACTGCAAGTACAGTGAGTGATACAGTTTCATAAAACTTTCTCTCAGTTAATTGTGGACTTGTGGTAGCAGGGCAACCCCTATGGGAAAATCGCATCAGAAAGAGCAAATCCCCACTAACCTAACTTACAGCCTGAGTGATTCCCTCTGTTGTGTGTCTCTTAGGCTTGGGCATTGCAACCAAAAAGAAACCACTGAGGATGCCCTCATAATGGCTTAACAGTTTAGTTGATGTCACTTTGGAAAATTTAAAGGACACGGGGAAAAGGGAAGTAAAATTCTGACAGTAGTGAAAGTGTATAAAATATTGTGGCTCATAAGATATTATTAAAGAGAGGTCTTAGGTCAGGCCTTAAGTGAGAGAGTCCCAGGAGGCCAAAGGATGCAAGTATTCAATCAATTTGCATTGAGTTACTGAATCAAAATAAATGTGAGAGTGTAATGGAGAGTGTTCAAAGAAGAGTGAGGTTTTCATTGAGCACCTACTATCTTAAAGCCTTGGTGTTAGATGCTGGAGGTATACACTCATTTCTACCAGATTACATTGGCTAAACTTGTGATAAGGTCACCCCTGACTGTTAAGTGGATTAGGAGATGACATCAAAATGTGACCAGGAGAAAAATGAGAATTATTTGTGGGCATGTGGGCTACTCCTGCCAGAGTTTACTTTTTTATGATATCTATCAAACTCTTCCTTTTAAACATAGACTTCATGCCCCCTCCTCAAGAGACACAATCTCAAATCCAGATGGGATCTCTGGGTAATGCACAGTTCTTTTCATCAAGTTTGGATGAGATTCTTCATGGTCCAATGGCCTACGAACTAGAAAGACAAATTATCTACTCTCTCCCTCCCCTATCAAACCAACGTACAATTGTAGAGCAGAAATAAAATAACCATCGTTAATTGCTCTCATTGGAAAGGAGAAATACACGAGACAGTATTTTCACAGCAATTATGAAATCCCTCTGGCAGTTATTATGAAGTCCTCTCCCTGAGGATATAGGAAATTCCTTGATTAAATCCTAATTTTGCTTTCTGGGGGGAATATATATATACATTGTGTGTGTGTGTGTGTGTGTGTGTGTGTGTGTGTGTGTAGTATATGTGTATGTATAATTCTTAAATGAGAATTCATTTTGTACCAAGTGTCATGGTCATGATAAACTTCCTTTTCATCTCTCTCTTCTAGGAAATATTTTATTATTTTATTTTATTTTTCTAATTTTATTATTTTATTTTATTTTATTTTATTTTATATTATATTATGATTTTTTTTTTTTTCTAAGTAGGTTTCACACCCATCATGGAGCCCAATGCTGGGCAGAGCCCAACGTGGGGCTTGAACTCACGACCCTGAGATCATAACCTGAGCCAAGATCAGGAGTGGAGGCTCAATGGAATGAGCCACCCAAGCGCCCCTATTTTTATTTTATTTTAGAGGGAGAGTGAAAGTTGGAGAGAGGGTTTGGGGGAGAGAGGGAGAAAATCTCAAGCAGGCTCCATGCTCAACGTGAAGCCCCACATGGCGTTTGATCCCAAAACCCTGCAATCATGACCTGAGCCAAAATCATGAGTCAGATACTCAACCAACTGAGCCACCCAGGTGCCCCAGGAAGTACTTATTTTAAAGTCTACTCTTTCATTGAGGATATATCCTTCTGAAGATCTTGGCTTTCTGCAAGTGTCTCCCATGCCAACTTTTCAGCCCACATAGATCCAGGTTTTTCTATTTTGTCTCTTAATGTCTATTAAATCCCAAGTTCTTGGTCACTAAGGTGAGCAATAACCACGGATTGCCTCTCTGTCCATACTGACAACCAGGATAGCTAAGCCCTGTGTTCACTTCCATTTCTTATTTTCAATTTTCCTCCAATTTCTACCCCTGGAGATAATTCTCACTGTCCCTTGAGCTCAGTTATGCACATAGAAGGCTTTATGTTGTATTTTATCCATTTTAATAAGATTTTCATAGCAGGGCAGTTTTCATACTAACCAACCAGTTGTATTGTTTGTAATGCAAGCCCTGGAACTGAATTTTGAAGTTGGACTATCCCAGATATTTCAAGTGCATACACCCTGAAGTATAAACGAAAGAATGGAGGCTCCAATGTAATGGAGGAATTACATTTTTTAAAGTTTCAATCTGCAATGTAAGTACAGTTGACCTTGGAACAACACAGGTTTGAACTGCACAGGTCTACCTATGCATGGATTTACTTTGATAAATACCATATAATACTATAAATATATTATTTTCCTTATGATTTTCTTTTGTTAAGTTTATTTGTTTGAGAGTAAGAGGGAGAGAGAGTGCACATGCAAGGGGGGAAGGGCAGAGAGATTGGAAGAGAGAGAATCCCAAGCAGGCTTTGCACTAACAACAGCCCCAATGCAGGACTTGATCTCATGAACCTGTGGGATTACGACCTGAGCCGAAAACATGAGTCGATTACTTAACCAACTGAGCCACCGAGGCACCCCCTTATGATTTTCTTAACATTTTTCTCTAGATTACTTTACTGTAAGAATTACAGTATATAACCCATATAACACATAAAATATGTGTGTTAGTCAATTTTTATGTTATCACTAAGACTTCTAGTCACAAAATGTTATTACTAAAGTTTTGGGGGAGTCAAAAGTTATATGTAGGCTTTTGGCTGCACGGAGGGGTCACTGACCCAACTCCCACATTGCTCAAGTGTCGAATACATTACATTTCTCATTTTTAAAAATTTTAAAGTTTTAAGACTTTAAAAAAAAAACACTTTTTGTATAAGCGACTTATTTATTTCAACATTCTTTTTTTTTTTTTTTCATATGTGAGTAATCTGAAGCCAAAAGAGGTCATACACCCATCTAAAGACACAGTGCTACCTAGCAGGAGATACAGAGACTAAATTTCATTCCTCTCTTGACAAGATCCTGTGGCTTTTTAAAAATTATTCTTGGGGCGCCTGGGTGGCGCAGTCGGTTAAGCGTCTGACTTCAGCCAGGTCACGATCTCGCGGTCCGTGAGTTCGAGCCCCGCGTCGGGCTCTGGGCTGATGGCTCAGAGCCTGGAGCCTGTTTCCGATTCTGTGTCTCCCTCTCTCTCTGCCCCTCCCCCGTTCATGCTCTGTCTCTCTCTGTCCCAAAAATAAATAAACGTTGAAAAAAAAATTTTTTTTAATTATTCTTATTACTTTGCACTGATAGAAGTTTCAAAGAACTTGATCTGGTTCAATTTGACTAAACTTGCCTTGATATATTAAAGTAATATAAAATAATATTTTTTTCAATTAAAAGAAAACAAAACACAAAAATGCCTTCAAAACTAAAGGGTGTATTAGCTAGCTGCAGCAAATGCTACTTAATACAAATGATCTTATTCATAATGAAGAGGGCAGGAGAAGGAACAGGAAGTACAATTCTTTAAAGAAAATAAAATTCAAAGGACATTCACAAAAAATCTAATTTAATAATGGTAACATTTCTGTTTGATTCCACTTTCACTACAGGCAAGGCTTTCTTTCTAAACAGTGTGTCCGAGTATCCCATTCTTTCCCTAGAGGACTTCCGAAAAGCCCAGAACTGTTGGTTGGCAGTTTGTCTCAGGGTTGGGGTTGTAAGCTTTAGAAAACAGCAATAATAAAACAATGCAGGGTATCCACTCAAGGTTGAATTCCAGATAAACAATAAATAAATTTTAGTATAACTATATACCATAAATATTGCATGGGGCATACCTATACTATTTATTATTTGTTTATCTGAAATTCAAAATTAACCGAGACTCCTGCATTTTATCTGATAATCAAAATGCGGTTGATGTGTCCGAGGGGAAAGGGGCCCACAAGCAATGACAGCTCAGTGCTGAGTCCGTAATTTCCTGGTTGTCTTGAAAAAGGATCCTTCTTTTCATTTCTATTTCATGGACTCCTCACTTTGTACTTTTCCTTCTCTTTCAGTTTGCCTACTGGCCCCTCTTTATAATAATAGGGAGGTAGAATATACAAAAGACATAGGTTGTTATTTCAGCTGAAGCCCTATTACTTTGTATCAATTTATAAAATATACATTATAAAGCACAAATTTAGTGTCGTTTTCTCCTCCAAGAAATAGAATTTCAATGTTATTCTCCATTTTTCCAATATAATGATGTTTAGAGAACCAGTTATTTTCCTTTCAATTTGATTGCCAAATTCACTTCATGGTTACTAAATAAGTGGAATCCTCACACTGATACAATAATCTCTCTCCAGTTACCTTTTGCCACCATGAAAAGTTTTTATTTATGACCATACCCTCATCTGCCCTTTAGCCAACATTCAATCCATTTTATGTACATTCATGTCCATTCTGTTTTCCTCCTTTAGTAGACCTCAATCTTTCTACCAAGACCTTGATCTCTGATGTGGAACTTCGTCAAATGCTGTCTGAAAATGTAAGAGCACACTCTTCCCTGCATGGAGACAAAGCCAGAATCTTCCTTGAAAGGCAGGAGGGTGCTGAATGAATAAACATTGGCATTTTGTGGTGGGGTTCTCTGTCAGACCCAAGCGGCTCCAGATATAAAGTTTTGATTAGAAATTTCAAGAGGTGTTGTATGGAAGGGCATTATCGGTCTGTTGTCATGACTTCACAGATTACAATTATACTTTTTCACACCATTTGTCAATGACTGAGGAAGAAGACAGGGCTGTCAGGCACTTTTGGCTAAGCACTGCCCAAGAGTGGACAATGGGAATAAAGAAATGTTTTTCTTCCTTTTTGTTCAGGAAAAAACAGTTGTGGTAAAGGTCTTAGGAATAGATCAATTTGACTTCTTCAACTTCTTTATCCTGACAGAGGCTTGGTGAACTGTAAATGAATGTTCAGTATTTTTAGAGAAACACTGAGGACTTTTAACGGCAACTTTAAGTTTAATGAGCAAACATACGCTTTGTATTCCAGTTTGCTGTGGGATAAATGCAACTTTTGAGAACCAAGTATAGATAAATATGCACTTTTTATATATCTAAAACAGGACCAGTTCTCTTTAAAGAGCCAAATAAAACTGGAAACACACAGAATATCAAGATTTTTATCCAGTGAAGTTTACAGTTACAAACTTCTTTAAACTCCATTAAAATAGGATTTAATTGTTCCCTAGCCTCCATTTTAGTGATAGAGTGGACAAATATGACCCTGCTTTAGCTGATAAAGGAAACAGGAAGCTGTGATCTAATCACCATCTCTCCTTTCCCTTCTCCACTGAGTCAGATTGAAATTTGGGAGAATA